AGAGGCTCAGAGACAGAAAATCCAAGCGGACTTCCACAACCTGCGCAGCTTCCTGAGGGAGGAGGAGAGGTCGTACCTGCGGAAACTGGAGAGCGAGGAACAGCGCACTCTGCAGAGACTGAGGGTCCGTGAGGCCAACCTGGGGCAGCAGAGCCGGAAGCTCAAGTACCACATCCGGGAGCTGGAGGAGCGATGCCAGGGCTCCGCCCAGAAGGTGCTGCAGGTGAGGCTGAGCCCTGAGAGGAGGCCATGGAGATGGGTCCTGAGCTTCTGAAGGGGAATGGGGGGGGTGGGGGTTGTGGGAACAGAGGACCAACTGCCTCGCTCAGCGGCGGCACATCAGTGTGGGCAGATTTGTTTTATTTTTATTTAGTTATTTTGTTAATTCTCATTCATGGATATTGTTCCATTGGTTTTAGAGAGAGTGGAAGGGAGAGGGAGAGACAGAGAGAGAAACGTTGATGGGAGAGGGATGCATTGATTGGTTGCCTCCACAGGTACCTGAGCTCTAGGCCGAGGATCAAGCCTGCAACCAAGGCGTGTGCCCTTGACAGGAATTGAACTTGGGACCCTTTAGTCCACAGGCCAACGCTCTATCCACTGAGCCAAACCGGCTAGGGCATAAAGGCAAATTAAGTTTTTTTGTTTTGTTTTTAATTTGAGAGAGGAATGGAGAGGGAGAGAGAGATAGAAACATCAATGATGAGAGAGAATTATTGATCGAGCCCGCAACCTGGACACATGCCCTGACAGGGGATCAAACCCTGACCTCCTGGTTCATAGGTTGATGCTCAACTACTGAGCCACACCAGCTGGGCTAAGCCTATTTCTCTTAGAAAATTGAACAGATAAAATCTACAAGGTGGCTCCATGGTCTACAGGGCTCTATATATAAATCACAAATTTTTGATTTGGCTCAAAACTCCAGTGTGGTTCGGTGGGTAGAGCATCAGCCTGAGGACCAATGGGTCGTGGGTTCAATTCTGGTCAAGGGCATGTACCTTGGTTGCAGGCTTCTCCCTGGCCCAGGCCCTAGTCGTGGCTCGTGCAGGAGGCAACCAATGAATGTGTTTCTCTCACATCGATGTTTCTCATTGTCTCTCCATCTCTCTTCCACTCTCTCTAAAAATCAATGGAAAAATATCCTCGGGTAAGGATCAAGAAAAATAAAATCCCCCCTGCAGGTAGAGGGGGCGGGTCCCTCGGCCAAACAAGCTCAGGGGATGGCTTCCGCTCCCACGTGCCTGTGTCCAGGGGTACAGAATCCTGAAGGTCAGGTGATGTTGGGGACCAGGTGGGGCCTCCCCTTGAGTGATGGGTGAGCCTGGCCTGATGGGCCCTCCTTCCAGCCTCAGGAAGGTGAACCTCCCCCTACCTCCCAGCTGCTGGTCCCAGGTCCGGCTGGTGGAAGTGGAGAGCGCCCCTCAGGGTGACCATGTCTCATGGCTGCTTCGCCCCCTGGGTCACTGTGGCTGCCACCTCAGTGCCCAGTCTGGGCGCCGTGCACCCACCCACCGCCTCTGGCAGGTGCGCTCTGAGGGAGGTGAGGCCAGAGGGAGCGCAGGGGGCTCCCCACCCCACTAAACAGCCGCAGGCTCCCCAGCACCTCAGCAAGGAGGGCACCAGGCTCAGAGGCTGAGAGGTGTCCTGCCGTGTTGACCGTCCAGAGGCCAGAGTGGGGATCGTTGCCCGGGGTGTCCATCTGTTACCCAGAAACCCCCGGGTGGGCTCGGCTGCCTGTCGCTGTGTCCAGTCACCAAGGCAGGGATGAGTCCCATAAGGCGTTTACTGAGAAGGCGGCCCACCCAGTAGGCAGGGCGCTTACACCCATCGAGTCCTGTCTCCCAGCAAGTGCAGGGACAGGACTACAAAGGGGAAGGGGCTGGGGTGCTGTGTGCAGCCCTGGGGGTCTCAGCTGTCAGCTCTTGTCCTCAGTCCCCAGGCGATGAGATGCTGTTGGTCAGATGGTGTTTTGGCTCCTGGTGGGTGGGCCTGACCCTGCTCATGGGTTCTGCTCGCTGGCCTCACAGCTCAGTCACCTCCCCAGTCACTTCGCACAGGGCCTGGGAAGGAAACTTAACAAAAACTTAACCCCTGTTCACATGTAAGAAACGTACCCCTGTTCCCGTTAGTGTGTGTGTCCTAAGATTTAAAAGAACAGGATTGCTCTTCAGAGTCATCCAGGTGCCCTGCCGACCAGGGTATAAGCCCCATCCCATCCGAACCCAAGGCCGGGCCTGCCCTGTGCCTCTGGGAGGGAGCAGCAGCCCATCAGCCTGGTGTTCCCACACTCACCTGTGCCTTTGTTTCCCGCAGGACGTGAAGGGCGCCCTGAGCAGGTGAGTGCTGAAGGATGGGCGAGGGGAGTGGGGTGCGGACCCCCCCTGAGCAGCTCTGGCCTCTGCTCCCCCAGGAGCCAGGATGTGCGGCTGGAGACGCCGGAGGCCCTGTCCTTGGAGATTCAGACCCAATACAAGGTCCCTGAGCTGTACTTTGAGCTGAGGAAACGGTTGAGGAGCCATCAAGGTACCTGAGGTTGTTGCTAAGCCTCCAGGGGACCAAGCTCAGTGCAACCTCTGCCCCCACGGGTCGCCTGGACAAATGGGAGGGTTTCTACTTTATGGTCACAACCCTGAGCTCCTGTTGCTGGTCCGAAACAAGGCTCAGGCTCCACAGCTGTCCCACGTAGATCCCGGGAAAGGATCTCGGGGTTTATCCAAGGCGTCCCTTGAGATAAACTCTAACCGTGCAGGTGTGGGACATTCAAGTAGTTGCTAGCGAAGAGGCTGCTCTATGCAAGGAGGACCATGGGCAGGTCTAGAACCAAAAAGACCAGAAGCTTTAGTTTCAGTTTTAAGTGTACACAAAATGATTCCATTAACTGCCGGAGGAATTACACCACATGACACATAGGCAGTTGCAAATCACACAGCACTTTATTACCCACACAAGTTTCTGGTGCTGCGGGTACAGGCTTGGTGGGATCCCGGTGGTGCTGTCCTCTGGGGTCTGGCAGCTGGGCTGGTCCAGTCCGGGTGCCGGGGGCCGGCGTTCCTCACCCGAGAGCTCGGTTGCCTCTCGATCGGGAGGTACTAGCCTGTCGTCTGGCAGGGAGAGGGGAGCGTGGAGCGGTGTCACTGGCAGGACTGGCAGAAGGACGTGCCTTGGTGCCTGTCTCAACCGTGAGCCCTGTTGGCCGGTGAGGACCCGTTTTTAAAGCCTGTTTCGTACCCGCAGCAGTTCAGGCGCTATCCCTGAATTAAGCCAGTGCACACATGTTGGTCTCAAACACAGCGAGGGGCTGCATGTGGTTATCTAGGGAGAGTACCTCACTCACACAGACAGCCATCTTAGCAAGTCGCTCGGAGTCAGTAACTGAAGTTCAAATCCTCGTCTATGGGGTACACACTTCAGAGCAGTGGGGAATGTGTCTTTAATATCACACTTTAAGTTAACTCAGACATTTCAAACCTTTTCAACATTTTTAGACATTTTTTAAGCATTTTAAACATTTCAGTATTATACTGTAACAGGAACACAGGCTGGTCTTATCTAAAATAAACTGTGCTGGGAGTGGGGCCTGCTCCATCCCCGACGCCCGAAGCCAGCCAGGGCCTGCAGGGGGGTGCGCACAGCCCCCGGGAGCTCTTTGTGTGTTTGTGGGGGAGGGTCCTGGGCATAAGCACCAGCCACCCCTTCCCCACCCTCTGAGGGGACGTTCTTGGAACAAAGGAGACCCCAGGACCACATCCCCCAGCAGAACTGGGAGTCCCAGTCCGCCAGGGCTAAACCCCAGGTTGTCGCTCCCCTGTGAATGCTCACGCTGACAGCCAGCGCCCTGAATTCTACCCCTGAGGTTCTTCTAATTACCAGGACCCTGCGAGGATGGTCTCCCTCTGTCCGTATTCGTTTGGGATTTCTTGGACCATCTGACAGAGCAGCCTGGCAGTTGTGAAACGGACATGGAGCAGTTTGCAGAGGCCCTGAGTGGCCGGGTCACCACAGAGGAGGCTTTGCAAGAACTTGTGGACCTCATCTATCAACAGGCCACGTCTGAGCCCAAGCTCCGCTGCGGGGGAGCTCGCCTGTGTGATTACCTGTCCCGTCACCTGACCATTCGCTCACAGAGGGGCAGCTTCCGCCAAGTGCTCCTTCAAAGATGTCTGGCTGATTATGAGCCTAGAGATCAAGCTGCCAAGGGGGAGGAAGCAGCTCGGAAACGATTCCACGGGTTCGTGCTCTTTCTGGGAGAACTTTATCTTCCGCTGGAGATCGAAGGGGCGAATACAGAGGCTCGAGTAGCTGCTCTCCGGGGGTTGTTGGATGCCCTCCTTTCTCACCCCGTGGACGATAACCTAATTTGTGCAGTAAAATTACTGAAGTTGACAGGGCCCGCCTTGGAAGATGCCTGGAAGAGACAAGGAAAGATGGACATGGTTGAAGTTATGGAGACAATTGGAGACATCATCCTGGATGCCCCCTGCAGTGAAGGCGTGAAGCAGATGCTCTCGAAGCTTGCAGAGCTCCGGTCAAGTAACTGGGGGAGAGTCCATGCCACATCAGCATCCGAGAGAAGCAGCACCTGAGAATGATCCCAAATCTTTTGTGACTGAACCACCATTGGGTCCAGCGGATGGTGTTCCTCTCCCTGCAGCTGATCCCGATGACCAGGATTCATTTCAGGAGTGACGTGAGGGCGGGAGAGGAGGGGGGAGGGGGAAGGACATATGTGATACTTTCAACAATAAAGATTCATTAAAACAAAAAAGAGTGAGTTGAAGAGAAGACTCTTTTT